GCCCACCTAATCTTAAAACACGGCTTACAAAGTTCACAACAAAGGTTAAAGGGAGCATTTGCCTAAAAAAATTAGATTATGGGATTTGATACACAGTAGATCTACAATTCTATCTCCAGAATTCTCAGGTCAACCAATGCATCTGCAGTATAAGGATGAGGGAAGCCTGAGCTGGGAAGTGACAAAAAGGTAGAGTAAGAAAAAAGGTCATAACTAGAAAAATTAAGAAGGGAAGAAAAGTGAATAGAGAAATTTAGATCTTAGGAAAAAGAGCTGAACAGAGCAATTATAGAATAAAATTTATTATATAATATGTAGCCCTACAAAAGGGAAAGAAAATAGAAAGCAGAAAGATGGAAACAAAGAATTTTCCTTTGCTTTGCATTTACAAAGTATAGTTTTCTACTAGAAAGACAGACAGAAAAATACTAAAATACATTTTAAAATGTTAAAATGCAATGGGTAGTTTATCACCTATACACATGTGAGTTAATTGACTTTGTTAAGAGAGAGGATTTTCCTGGTGGCAGGATGTGCAGCCACTGATACCAAAATATTTCATAAGGACCTTGCTAGGGAGAACAAAACACAGAGACCTCTGCTAACCTTTCCCTGACCCTCCCAGGTTGAGAAGAAAATCTTGCAGCCCACCTGAAGGTGAGCTCCTCCTGCCTCTGTTGGATGAGAGAGCTTCTTACCCCATGACTGCCTTGTTTCAGCCACCAGCAACCAGCCTCCCATACCCGCCCTTCAACAAGGTATTGCTCTGATATCTCCTGTAAGCACTCAAATTAACCATTAAATGAAGCCTTGATTAAATACTTGTAAGGAAGGGACTTCTTTGACAGCAGAGTGATTTGGTCTCTCCCTTTGAACAAGGGATGCTATAGAAAGGAGGTTTACCACTGAATATCTGCTACACAGTGTTTCCCTTCAAATATCAAACCAAACCCAACCCAGTGTTACATAGGACCATTTGGAAGTCTGAGGACTTGTCAGAAATTGTGTCTTTTGATTAATGTATATATCCCTTGCATGTTTCACATACTGTTCCTCAAGACATCACATTTCACATATTGCCCATCTGCTCCCTCTGGTCTGTAACAGAGGAAATGTGCAGCTGGCAACTTAACATGTATTTACACCCCATGGCTTTGAGGAGCTCTGTTCCTCAGTAGTGCCACGCTCTCAGGAAACATTTCCCTCAGTCCTAAAGCATGCAAGGGACCTCAACAGCAATGAGGGGCTGAGCTGCAGAGGATGAATGCCACATTGGCACTGGACAAACACAGTAAAACATGGACTATAACAAAGGCCTTCAGTGGAAAAGTTGCTCCTTTTTGAATTGGTGTGAAATATAGGAAGCTGTCTCCCAGGCTTAAATTGTCCCTCTAGCAATAGGCACAGAATCTGGATAAGAAATTATTTTTCTTGAAAAACCTAATGATTTGTAGGGGAATGTTGTCTTTATAAATATTCTTTTATTATTGTGGGGTTTTTCTCCAAATATGCAATAAAAGACTGAGTTGTAAACATGTAGGAATACTCCTCCTCATTTCCTTTTGCCCCTCCAGTCAGGAAATGTTGAAAATCAGTGTTGGTATTGCTGAAGATTAATGGCTGCTGCTCAGAAACCCTACAGAAAGGGAATATGCTCCTGCCAGGACAAATACATAAGCCATTGGACAAAAATCTGTGAACCACAGATAGTATTATATCATCATTGTAAAGATTCACACTGCCTGTCTTGCTCTGTAATTAATAATATTCGCATGTGGGTTTGACTGAAATCACTGTAACAACCAGGCAAATTAATGCCATGCCTTCATGGTTCAATTTATTCTACCGGTATTTGAAGTTTTCTTTTCAAATCAGCTTTATAGTATTTAAAAATTAGATTTTTCTTTCCAGGTATAGGAAGCAATCTTTCATGGATTTTTTTTGCCACTATATGTTCAATGTGGGTTTAAAGACCATGTAATCACCACTTTTTTTATATGAGCAGTTAGATCTCACAAGAGAAATAACACTCCACTGAGCTATAGGGCCATTAAAATAAATCCTTGTCATCAGTTAATTTGCTTCCCACTCTCCTTCAGAGAGGCTGTACTTAAGAGCACTCCTGCCATGTATATTGGGACACATTCTCATCACTGCAGCTTCTGTAAACTTTTTCTTCCCTTTTGTTTTCTTACAAAATAAGGCATAGGCTATGGTTACCTCAGATGTTTATGAAAAGTTTTCCTTCTCTATATTCAGTAAATGCACAGGGTCCAGCCAGAAAACATGAAGACAGGCAGAGCTGAGTCCAACTTGGAGCTAAAGCACAAGTAAGCTACCTGAGGGTATTATAATTTTAAAAAACAATCTTGGTAGAAATAAGGACATTAATATTATTTCCAGGGCATCTCTCCATGGTTTTCTGGCACGTTTGACTTCAAAATGAAGAGCTGGGACATCAAGTTGTGAAGTAAGTTGCTCAGCACTGATACCAAGATCAATGTCATGTGGGTCTGTGTTGTCAGATGATTTGAGTAGTGAACTAAGCACGTGATGCATATGAATACATTACCAGTTTGCCCTGCTAACCCCACAGTTGTCACTGTCACAGATTACCTCCCATGGTTTAGCTTGCTGTTTGAGGGTTCCAAGGCAGTCTCACCCTGGTGGTATGGGCATAAGATGCCCCCTGCTCATGGTTGAGTAAACAATTATGGTATTTTACCCCTTTTTTTTATTCAGAAAATACATCTCCCTACAGGTACAGCCTGATGTTATTCTCAAAACAAAATCTTCTTACATATGCCTAGATAATGTTTGGTTTGACAGTATTGAAATTGTTTCAAAGTAAACCCACAATATGATTTGTCAGTCCAACAAAATGCCAGCCAGCCACCAGAGATGTCTGAAAAGATCTGAAAATAAAAAGCCATGAAATTACTCAGTGCATTAGGTCACTGTGACAGCCAGGAGGTAATACCAGAGTATTTACTTTGGCTGAAGCCTTCCTTGGCTCATCTTCCTTTGTAGTGTTAAAGCCAGGCTCTCATCCCAAGCCAAAGTACTGTAGCTTGCCCACTTCAGAAATGGGTCAACACAGGTACCAGGGAAATAACTAAAATGGGGGGTTTGACATGAAATTAAAAACTTGTGTGGATTAAAAATAATTACTCTCTTCCCTGCCTGGATGCAAGGAGCAGAAGAACAGATGCACTCTACAACTACCAGTGTGGTTGTCCCCATACCCTCCTACAAGCCAGGAAGCTTCAGCAGTGCCTGGCATCTCTTTGGGGTCTGTATGCATGAAAAACCCTAAAAGTATTGTCCAGGATCTATTCCCATCATACCCATAGGGATAATGAGAACATGAGCAGTCCTTCAAAGCTTGTGTAACTACCCCACAAAGTAAAAGACTATGGTGAAGAACAGGAGAATACTCAAGCAATAAAGACCACATTTATTGCCTCACAGGAAACATTAGTGACTTTCTTCACCTCCCCTTTCCAGACCACAGAGGTGACTTCAGGGTAAATCCTTGTGAGCAACACGAGCATGATACATTTCTATTGAGGTTTGGCTCTGTTCACCACAGAAGCTGCACACTAGCTCCATCTCTAAGAAAATTACATATACCAGTTTTTGAATAAAGTCAAATGAAGCACAATAAAAATTGTTATTTTTCTGTAATGGTGAGTTCTTTTTTCCTCTGCATAGTTGCATTCAACATATTTTCTTCCTTTTTTTTTTTTTTTCCCTGCAGTTTGTCATTGTAAAATGACCATTCTCTGTCTTTGACAAAATTATTTTGAATGTATACTTACTTCTTGCACCTTGACAGTAGTTTCTAACAAACTAGAGGTGAACTATGTGCAGGAAAAGTGATACTTAATGATACTTCTCAGAGTTGTGCTAATGGTGACTCATGTACCAAAGAAATTAACAGAACAATTGCTTCTTGTAATCAGATAAGATGGTAACAAGCTCAAATTAAAGTAATAATGCTATGAATGTGGTTTTCGGGGGAAAAGTAAAGCCTCCTATGAAAAACTAAATAGTAATGGTTAATTGGAATAAAGGGATTAAGATAAAATGTTTTCACACAGGTTGGGTGGCTTTTTTCTGCTTGTCCATAGGTTCAGTGAAAAAGGTCACTAAAGTACAACCAAAAGAATGTATGAATTTGAAAAACAGTCCTACTACAAAAGGGGATAAATTTTGAAAAGCCACAAGTCTTCATATTGACTTTTTGAAATACCACGTTTCAGCTTCTTATTTTGAAATTCTCTGGAGGCTCATGCTACAGAGAGTTCATTGATGCATTAGCATTAAAGAGAATCTCAAAACTGGATGGACATTTGGGGACAAGCTAAGTGCAAAATCTGGCTGACAGCCATCAAGGACTTACTACTGGGCTGAATTAACATGTAAACCAGGACAACTGAGAAAGCTTTCAAGCAAGCACTACTCCAAGAAGTAAAATTAATGGATCTTTGAAAGGCAAGGAATGTGCAAAGCACCAGACTCCAGAAATCAGACAGGACAGGCAGAGCTTTGTCTGAGGCCTCAGTAACATCTAAACATGCAGAAGTTCCAGGGGAGATCCTAAGTCCATTTCTGTATTCCTGACTTGTATAGTTGCCTCTTGAATATTTTCAATAATAATTGTAATTACATTCCCTATATTTACTTGTCATCCCTCCACTCCCTTCTTCCCACCTACAACTGATTCCCCTGTGGTTGTTTTCAGCCTCACCTGCAGATCCACATTTGTTTGCCGGGTGTTTCTTTGACAGGTGTCTATAATTTATCTTGCTTGGGTAGCTGCAGTGGTAAATAAATCATCACTTAAAACTAATAACTGTTAAACACCAACTACCACTGCTCTCTCCTTGTGGTCCTTTACCTTAAATATGGATGTTCCTGTTAGTTGAGCCCTGTGCTCTTTGGACAACCTAAAAATAGGTATGTAGAAAATATAGTTTAGAAGATCTTTAATTTACCTGCAATTCTCCTTCCATTATACTGAGTAGTTTTATCAAGTCTTCTTTAGAAAGCTCTATGGACTTCTTGTTCTTTCGCTCACTAGGACCGGGTGATTTTGAGTGCCGTTTGACAGTTGCTGAAACCATGACCTCATCTTCCTTCCGATGAGGTTTGTTCTTTTTCTTGGCATCCTCCTGAAGTTTTTCATTCTCTGCGTGGCTGATGACAGGCTTGGAACTGGAGAAGTGCCCGTTAGACGAGCTTTCTCCACCTTGGTTTCGGGACCTCATCCCTGCCTAGAAAGAAACAAACATAAAGATGCATTTATAAACAAAATTACTTACAAAAAAAGAAAGCCACAGTGGAAATACTGCCTTTGGTAAGAACAACAGTCTTCTAAAAACTGGAGAATACTGTCATGCTCAAGAGACTGTGGTAGAAAGCTCAACCATTCCAACAACTCTGTGTGTGGCAGAAAAAAAGTCCTGAGGTAAGATTAGCCATCTTTTTCAGCAAGCCAAATGCTGATATGAGTTTAAATGTATGGAACTTAAAATTGATGTGGGACAACACATTCCAGTGTTTCCTTTTCTTCAGTTGACATGTTGGTCACTCACAATTCAACACTACAAAACAAAGCAAGTTGTCAAATAGATCTTATTTTACTTGAAAAACAGAAATGCAATTTAATTTTTGAAAAGCATATAGCTGAAGAGTAATTTCTCTATGAGAGTGCAGTGCCAATGCATGACAAATGTCAGTCTGCTGTTTCTCTGAAGTAAGCAATGATTTTATTGCAGGTAACCAAGAAAAATGAAGAATGCAGAGTAAATCAGGTGGCAAATACTGCACAGGATTATTAGACGATAAGTTCCATAAAGGAAAGTTGAAAAGAAGTTTGAAAAATGAGCATGAATGATATGAAATCACTAACAGGTAAACACACTCTTTCCAGAAAATTCAGGGTTTCTCCAAAGGGCTCATGGTTATTCAATGCTCACATTTCTGTCTTCTTAAGCATTGAGTCTTAGACTACAACAGCAAACATTCCTCAGCTTTGTCACTTGACCAACTGTATAGCTAAATTTTTAAAGCAATAAATCTAATGAAAAATATTCCACTGCTTCCAAGTATTTCCTCTCATTTAAATTAATCTCTGGTGTTAGTTTGAAGTTTGTTCTTTAGTCAAACAGATGCATCAATAACATCACACACACTTCAGATAAGGAGTTCAGAGCAGCAGTTCAGTAGTGATGGAGCAAAACCTAAAATACACTGACTTACCAGCTTTGCTAAATTACACTTGGTATGCAGTTGCTTGCCTGCATTATAAATCTCTTGCCACGATTAGCCTTGCACTTTTGTAGTTTCACACTCAACATGAAGATTGTCTTTTTATTACGACTGGTTACTCACGTCTTCACTAATTCAGTGGAATTCATACAGCAGCACAAATAGGGAGAGAATTAGACTCTATATTTTGGAGTGAGAGAGTTTCACAAAGAGATTCCTTGCATTGTAGGCCTGCTCTTATCTAAACAATATGTGATACAGGTATACAATGGCCTTTAGCTTCCTGAATGCTTATGCAGGGTGTTTTTCATCAAACAGTTTGGATTAAATACATGAATTACACTTTCTAAAAACAGATCTCCATTATAAGCATGAACAATACCTGAGAACCTCAGGAAATATTTTGGGTTTCAGATTTATAATGGAAAAATAAACATAGTACTATGTTTCCTCTCAGATAGGGCTTTTCAATTTGTTTAACTTTAATGGGTTTGAAACTTTCCAACCATGCTTCCTCTCAGGAGACAGCACATGGGATTCAATCTGTCTCTATTTTCTAAGTGTTTCTTTCTGAGTCCCTGTGGGTCACTGCCTCCAGCCACTTTCATCTCTAAACCAAACCTATTTTTTATGGCTTACAGTGAATAGCTTCATGGATCCAGAACATCCCACATGTTTTAAAAACAAATATTTGAAGACTGTCTTGTATATGTTTTGCAGTGTAAAACAGATTATTATATTACAGTATATTCTGCTTAGTAGCATGCCATTTTAGGGATATCTCTGTAGTAAGACAACTCAACTTATAGACTTGAAGGTTCACAATTAATGTTAAATTTAACTTATGTCTGGTTGAGACACATCATCAACCTGAAAATTGCATAATCAACCAGATACACTTAGCTAAGTATGTTAGACTTCATGAAAGGTGGTGTGTCACCCAGTCACATCATAACTCAAGACAGCCACTTTGATCCATCTGTCCTTGTGGGAGCTGAGATAACAATTCATGAGGCCATGTAAAGACCGAGCAGTTGACTTATAGGCTTATCAACCTGTTAACAGAGAAATTAGGAATGTATATTTCAAGTGTGCTTATGCTCATTGTAAATCAGTAGAGGCCCACAAAGGACAAATGCAAAGTTATGTTCATTAAAATGGCAACAAAAAGGCTTAACCATTTGACCTGGTGTTCCATATCATCTCGCTAATTAGCATATGATTGCTGTAAAAGGAGATCAAACTTGGCCTCTTTCAAAATTTCTTTTAAATTTGTAGATTTATTTCTACAGCAAGCCTTACCTGACAGTAAGTGTGGCAGACAGTCTGTCACACTCAGGGACACTGCCCCTAACAGCCTTTCTTAGTGTGAAAGCCTGACAAAATCAGAGAAATGCTAACACTTACTCTGTATTCCCTTATGATGCTGATACTTTTTCAACACATTACCCAAATGCAAAGGTGTCATGTGCTGAAGCCAGAGATGCAGGTGACAGAAGCTTAAATGGTGACAGAAAAGGCCAAGGTTTTGATATTCACACAGTCATTTCCAAGGAGTTTAAGGGCCAAAATCAACGGCATGATCCAGCTGTTGTGCAGCGCTCCAGGAACACAAAGCAGCTGTAAGGATGACTGAGTTTTAATTACAGCAGCGTGAAGTAGCCAGAACATACCAGTGATGTTGGCTGCAATACTGTGTGCTGGAAGGGAGTGCTCAGTGTTATCATTTTGGATATCCGTCTGCATTTCTGATGGCATCGCGATAAAGAAAAGTTTCTGAGTATTTGCATGACATTATTTCAGTATGCAAATATCCAAATCCCAAAACTTTGCTTATCTGTTGTTTCACCAGGGCTCCAAAACTGATTCTGGGGACACTGCCAGTCTAATACTGGTAACAAATGACCTCCTGCTGTCAGTCCTGATCAAATCTCCATATCTTACAGCATTCCTGATCTGCTGAAGAGATTGTGTTCCCTAAAGAAATAACTCATATGATTTATAACAACTTTAGAATTTAACTCTACTTTTTTTTTCCCACTCCTTATCATATTGCATATTAAACTGGGAACCTTTTTTAACCGTTTCCAGTCAAACAAGAAGACTTTATGTGACCAGTCACCTTGATTGTGACATTTATTGGCTACTCATTTCAATATGTGCTCACAGCACTGGTACTCTGCATGGGAACTCTTCAGCCCCTTCTCTGGTTCAGCCATTTCTTAAGCTTTATGTACAAAGGACAAATGCTATGATTATTTACATGAGCCTGTATTGTTGTTCTGGGCATGGATCCTTCAGTTTTTCACAAGTTAGAATCCACACAAGATTTTATTAAACAACCTTTATGTTAGTTTTACTGACATCAGGAGGAAATCTGTGAGGAATTTGCTGAGAAGGATGTCAGGAGAGGACAGGCTGCATGCTATTCCAAGTCTTTCCCCCGCTGATGGCAATTTGTTCTCCCTTGAAGCTCTTGAAATGGCAGGTTAGATTAGGCTCTGTTACTAGTTCTGTTAGAATCAGATAACGCAAAGGGGTTCTTTGAACTTAATGTGTAGCCCCTCTTGCTAATTGGACATGATGATTTTGGCTCCATAGTACTTTCCTCTGAAATAATAATAATAATGTAATAATACACACATGCACAAGAGTTGATTGAAAGCCATTGAAACCAGTTGTTGCCATTGGCAATAAGTTTGTAGTCTGGATCTCAGTTGCAGATCTAACTGATTAGAGTATGACATGAAAGTGGTGGGTTTCTGACAGGCTAACAAAGTATTGTAGGGACAGTGCAACTGGGTTAGTGAACCAAAACTGGAATTTATTTCTCTGCTGTGGCTTTGGGAACTGTATCTTTCAGGGGCTCTGCTGTGCAGGAATTTGGAACAGAGCAAAGTGATGTGCAGAAGTGCCTGGGTACACAGGGCTGATGGAGGAAAACTCAAGCACTGAGCAAGACAAATTCCTGCCCGGTGATTATGGATCAATATATAGGACTAGGAATGAAAAATAATTTAAATATACTCAAACTGGAGACCAAATAATATAAAACCTCCATCAAATCTGAAACACCCCACAAATGATGAGGAGAGCTAGAAAATATTTTAAATACTGTCAGTCTGTATCTGAAAGTAGTAGGTACCAAAAAAAAAACATCAAAAACAAGACAAGAGGAAAGGGGAAGGGAAGGGAAGGGAAGGGAAGGGAAGGGAAGGGAAGGGAAGGGAAGGGAAGGGAAGGGAAGGGAAGGGAAGGGAAGGGAAGGGAAGGGAAGGGAAGGGAAGGGAAGGGAAGGGAAGGGAAGGGAAGGGAAGGGAAGGGAAGGGAAGGGAAGGGAAGGGAAGGGAAGGGAAGGGAAGGAAGGGAAGGGAAGGGAAGGGAAGAAGGGAAGGGAAGGGAAGGGAAGGGAAGGGAAGGGAAGGAAGGGAAGGGAAGGGAAGGGAAGGGAAGGGAAGGGAAGGGAAGGGAAGGGAAGGGAAAAAGACATTTTCTCAACTGTCAGGAGGAGAGGAGGATGGGGGCATCAAATTGACCTTGTTGGCTTAGAAGTCCTCAGCAAGGACCACCCCAGATGGAAATGGATGGCTTTAGCCCCAGGGGATCTGGATAGCCACAACTGTTTACCTGGCTTCAACAGTGTGTGACTTTCACAGGACAATCATGTAGAGATACAATGGGATGTTCATACCACCTCAGAGGCTGACTAAAATTATTAGTTTTCATATTGATTATTCCAGGTAATTTTCCTGGGCTCTGCAGATGTTCATTATTTTATCTGGCTTTAAGAAATTAAAAGGAATCGCATTCCCAAGAGGTTGTGATAGGAGCAGTAGGAGCTGTGGCTGTGCTGAAAGAGCAATGCTGTGCAGTTGGACTCTAAGTCTGCATGAAGCAGACTCTGGATGTGACAGACTCTGAACTGTGAATGAACTAGGCCAAGGGAATGCAGACCTCATTCCTGCATTTGCTTTTGCAGATGACTCCTGTGTTTGTTTCAGTC